ATTGGTTTTATTAAGCTATACATTTTTCTCTGCTCCACTTCCTCTCCCCATCCCCTTCAACCCTCTCCCAAGGTCCCCATGCTCCCAATTTACTCAGGAGATCCTTTTCTACTTCCCATGTAGATTAGATCTATGTAAGTCTCTCTTAGGGTCCTCATTGTTGTCTAGGTTCTCTGGGATTGTAAACTGTAAGCTGGTTTTTCTTTGCTTTATGTCTAAAAGCCACTTATGAGTGGGCACATATGATATTTGTCTTTCTGGGTCTGGGTTACCTCACTCAATATGATGTTTTCTAGATCCATCCATTTGCTTGCAAATTTCAAGATGTCATTTTTTTCTGTGGTATAGTATTCCATTGTGTAAATGTAGCGTATTTTCCTTATCCATTCTTTGGTCGAGGGGCATTTAGATTGTTTCCAGGTTCTGGCTATGACAAGCAATGTTGCTATAAACATAGTTGAGCAAATGTCCTTGTGGCACAATTGAGTATCCTTTGGGTATATACCCAAAAGTTGTATTGCTGGGTCTTGATGAAGGTTGCTTCCTAATTTTCTGAGAAATTGCCACACTGACATCCAAAGGGGCTGGACCAGCTTGCATTCCCACCAGCAATGCAGGAGTGTTTCCTTTATACCACATCCTCTCCAGCGTAAGTTGTCATCAGGTGTAAGATGGAATCTCTGATGACTAAGGATATTAAGCATTTCCTTAAGTGTCTTTCAACCATTTTTAGATTCCTCTGTTTAGGTCTGTACCCATTTTTGTAATGGTCAATTTCTTGAGTTCTTTGTACATTTTGGAGGTCAGTCCTCTCTCTGATGTGGAGTTGGTGAAGATATTTTCCCATTCTGTAGGCTGATGTTTTGTCTTATTGACTATGTCCTTTGCTTTACAGAATCTTCTGTTTCCAGAGGTCCCATTTATTAATTGTTTCTCTACATGTCTGTTGTACTGGGGTTATATTTAAGAAGTGGTCTCCTGTGCCATTGTGTTCAAGTGTATTTCCCACTTTCTCTTCTATGAGGTTCAGTGTGTTTGGCTTTATGTTGAGGTCTTTGATCCATTTGGACCTGAGTTTTGTGCATGGTGATAGATATGAATCTATTTTCATTATTCTACATGTTGATATCCACTTATGCCAGCACCATTTGTTAAATATGCTTTCTTTTTTCCATTTGATATTTTTTGCTTCTTTGTAAAAAATCAGGTGTTCATAGGTGTGTGGATTAATATCTGGATCTTCGATTTGGTTCCATTGGTCCTCCTGTCTGTTTTTATGCCAATATCAGGCTGTTTTCAGTACTGTAGCTCTGTAGTAGAGTTTGAAGTCAAAATTCTATGTCCAGTGAAAATACAGAATAAACACATTAAAAAATAGTTTAAAAAAAACCCTCTAGAGTTGTTCAACTGTAGTCTAAATAGACTCGCCAAAGAAGAGGAAAACTAGTCTCAGTGTCTTGAAGATCAGACGTTCCGGGAGGATCTCAGGAGTAACAGAAATATGAAGTACCAGAGTGTGCAAATGTGATTAGTAGCAAGCATAATGTCTTGAGGCTCAGGAGGTTAGGGAGTATAAGCGGGAAGGAATTAAATAGTCAAAGTCATAGTCATCTTCAGCTGATACATTGACGAGGAAGTATATGCATCAGCTTCCTGTAAAAACAATATTGAAGAAACCTGTGTGCTTCAGAGATCTCAGTGCCAAACAGCTCTTACACAAAAGGTGGGCACTGTTTTCAAGCTGAAAGATTTTAAAATTAAATTGGCAAAAAATAACCACCCTTAAATAGCTTTTCTCCTCTCCTCTCCTCTCCTCTCCTCTCCTCTCCTCTCCTCTCCTCTCCTCTCCTCTCCTCTCCTCTCCTCTCCCCTCCCCTCCTCTCCCCTCTCCTCTCTTCTCTCTCTCCTCTTTCTCTCCCTCTCTCCTTTCACAGACAAAAAATAAAAAGTAGAAAGGGAACAACTTGGTAGGTAAAATGTTTAAATTACTAGGAGTCCCATCAGGGAAAAACGAACCCCAGCTTTTTCTTACTGCAAAGGTGACATAACAAGGAACAAGCTGATTCTCACATCTTAAGCAATCCAAAATTGCAGTAAAGACATGAGATGGTTTGTAAACACTGGAAACCAGGTAACAAAGAGCAGTGGTCTGTGAGAGACACCATGATCGCAAATATCTACAACACTCTATCCCTCCACAGGGAGAAAGCAGGTGTGGACAGAGAACTCAGCTCTTCCCTGAGGCGAGGGGTGAATAGGAGGGGGTAAAGGAGCTAGGGTGAAGGTCTGTCAGAACAGACGCCTGGAGAGGAAAGGTGCAGAAGAGATCCAGGAAATCTTCAGAGTCAACTTGGTTGGATCTTTGAGTGTAAGGTCAGCCTGGTCTAAGTAGTGAGTTCCAGGCCAGCTGGGACTCATTAAGAAGATTTGCTGCCCTCGCGAAGGACCTGGGCTCAGGTTCCAGCACTCACGCAGAGGGATTCAACAACTACCTGTAACTCTAGTTCCAGGGATCTGACACAATCTCTGGCCTCTGAGGGCATGCAGGCACTTACACATAGACATAAAATTAAAACAAATCTTTCTTAAAAATGTGAGACTGCTCAGTTCAGCCAGAAGGCAGCAGGTATTCAGGAATTCGTATGTTTTGGTTTCCTCATACGTTTCTCTATTTTTTTAAAGTGATATGTAACATTTCAATGAAAGTGAATTCAATTTATCTTTGGCAAATAATTCTTGACATACTTGTCTAGCATGTTTCAAAATCTCAGGCCGAAAGTTCTTTATTTTTAATCCCGATGACTGTAACATTTCTGAGAGTCCTGAGACTAGAGCAAGTCACAGCACAAGCTGGGGTTAGCTAATCTGCCCCCACCCAGGACGAGGACAAGGAGAGTGGTTCCGGATCTCTTTAGCTCCCTGGGCTCTTTACCTCTAACCAAGAGTTTCACTATCTGTGCTTATTAGTTTCCAAACCTTTCAACTCCCGTCTGCCCACTCCTGTCTCCACTCCTTGGTGATAAGTCAACACAACATTGAATGGAAATAACCCCCACGTGCCAGCAGCCAGTGTGTGAACTGCTTTTCTATGGAGACAGTCCCTGGGCTCAGAGTTAACAGGTCAGAGATCTCAGTGCCAAACAACACTGCACATTCTATGTTGATTCTCTTTCTCACAATTACTCTCCTTGCAGACTTCTGAATATTTTATGTATATGACTTGTTTTGCTGCTAGTTCTTACCCCAGCTGCTTTCACTCTCCTTGAGTAGCTTAAGGACAATGGAGGTGGACATTAGTACATTCCCGATTCTCCCAGGCCCTGCAGGGTTCCCATCTTCTGCTGTATGTGTGCATTTTAACAAGACCCACAAGTCAACATGCTTCTATACTTGATATTTGTTTTTAAATAAAATTTTAAGTAGCTATCAAGTATAATATTCTAAACAAAATAACTTTAAATGTTTGTCTTCTATTAAAAATCCAGAAATAAGTAACTATGTTTTATTTATGACACATATGAGTATCTATAGGACTTAATTTGCAAATCACTTTTTAAAAATACATTTATATTGTGGGTGCGTGAATGTTGGGGAATCTCTGTGTGTGTGTGTGCATGTATGTATGTACATGTGCCAAACTGCACATGTGGAGGTCCTAAGATTATTTGTGAGAGTCAGTTCTTTTCTTCCCTCGTGTTACTTCCAGGGGTTGAACTCAGGGGTCAGCCTTGTTGGCAGGAGCCTGCATGGTTGCTCCATCCCCACTTATAGCCCTTTATTTGCAAAAGCAGCTATCGCCTAATGTGTTCTCCTGTGGCTACATTGTGTTTTCCTTAATAGACTCTCCATTCGATATCTGAGTCATTATGTATGATATACCAACTAATGCATTTATTCCTATCTTCCTTTCTTGAGTTACAGTCCGAGAAATGAGATTACCCCCATCAAAGGCTGGCGACACATCCGAAGCCCCTGATGGATGCTGTCAATTGCTCTTCAGTCTCTTTCTACGTTTTGCATCTTCAGGACCATTAGGATGCAGCACTCAGAAGTGGGTGTCTCCTGGGACTCTGTGACCACCAACATCTTTGGCCTCATAGGTCATAGAGGTCAGCGGGTCTTGATACTGGGTGATATCTAATTCCTTCAGACATGTCTCTTTTTTGTTCATGGACCTCTAAGAAACAGTAAATGCAAACTTGATAGTGTATCAGAATATTCCTTTAGGGCCTCAGATATTCTCTCACCTAAAGTAATAATTTGATAAAAGCAGACCTTTTAAGTACTTCCAGTGAGAATACAAAACCGGTCAGCAGATACTGAGTCCTAAAATATAGGCATTTTCCTTGAGATACTGACATTATGCTTACAGTGCCTCTGTTATGTTCATTCAAATCGTTCCTATACTCTAAAACAATGAAGCTTCTCAACCGGCGGAATGCGCCCGGGAGTTTGAAGAGCACATAACCAGAGGCGGCCTTTAAGCTGGCAGGGAATGAATGGACGCCCTATCAGCACAGCTGAGGCCATAGACAATCGGCAGCGTCTGTCCACGCTCACAGGGCCTCACATACAAGCTGGCCTTCCAGCCCCACAGAACCGCAACCTCCAGCTTCTGGCACCTTCGGACCACCCGACCTGAAAACAAAGTCAGCCTCCGGCCATTGTGGGTGGACTCTGAAGACCTCCAGTGGTGCTGGCAGGACCACAAAGGCCTGCCAGTTAATGCGAATTCTCCAGAACCCACCAGGCTTCAAGTTGACCAACTATCGTTAAAATAAAGAAGAGAAAATACTTAGAAGGTATTTATGCTGATTTCAAATCTTCAAGTTATTTTAAAGGCCACAAAAATGATCACCATCCCTTCTTACAGAATGAACCCTTGATTAGTTTGGTTCAAGGGGTTCTGGATGAAGAGTGTTTGGTCTCATTATGAGGCAGTTTCCGCTTTTGTATATAACAAATACATCTCCCAAGTAGAAGCAACCAACAAGTCAGAGTTTCATTAAATAAATTTATTTGTTAAAATAATTTAACTCCAAATACAACTGTTGAGTTTGCATTGAGTTATAACTACAATTCACGTTTCAATTGAAATGTCGGGGCTTACTCGACATTGTTACAAAACAATAAACTGCTGTTCAATTTTAAATGGTCAGTTGTATTAGAGTTCAACAATTAACTGTGAACTGTATCTCTGGGAACCCCCAAATCGAGAATGGTAAGTCTGTTTTCAAAATCTACTGCAGCCATTCTAGAAACCCTGATCGAGCTTTGACAGATGCACAATGACAAGTTAAACAGAAAGGACCCCCACAGTCTTTAACATCTGATTGGCTGAGGAGACAATTAAAGCTTAACCAGTGCTAAGCGGGGAACGGGGCGGGGGTGGGGCTACTGATGGAGAACTGAGAAACTAAACTACCCCAAGAGCAGCAGACAAAGAGGCTTCACAGTCACCGGCCACTCACGCTGGGACGCAAACAGCAGGCGTCCTGGGCCACACAGGAAAGCAAGGATCAGTAGTTTCAGCCCAGAGAGTGGTGGCAGCTGTAGTGACTGGGCCACACCCCAACTCGACAAAGCAAAGGGTGGGCGCATCAGAGAAGCCTTTCAGTGGCGAAGGAAAGACCCAGAAGGCTTCCCAGAACGTGCTGGCTCGTCTCGTGGAAGCCTAACAGTGGAAAGGCATCGGCTACCATCACAACCACAGCTTAAAAGAACCTGAAAGTTCCACCTTCAAAGAAGTAAACCTAAAAAAAAAAAAAAAAAAAAATCTGCCTTTTGATAAAAGTAAAAAACAAAGCAAAGCAAACTTGATAATAGCTAAAGAAAAAGTGGGTCTTTGGGTCAAACCATGACATCATTAAGGCATGTTAGAACAAACTTTCATTTCTCTAGTTGCTAGTTGAATCCGGGCTTTTAGGAACTAGCAAGCGAAGTCACCGCTCTGCTCTGTGGCCACTATGTCATGTGCCCGTAAGTGTCACTTTCCTGTCCTCGGGTGTTTTATTCCCATCTTGGCAAACTTCACACACAACAGTCAGATTCACACTGGAGGGACAGCGAGCAGGTGGCACAGTTTGTGCTGGGAAAGTGAAGTCTGCACACTAGGAAGGACGGTGCAAACACTGGGTCCCAGGAACACACACCTCCACCTCACACCTTGCCAGGCTTCTCACATGTTACCCTTTGCATGCCTGCACAGGCATACATGATGGGAAAGTGTGGAATCTGCACAGCTGCTCTCAATATATGGAGTATCATAAACTGCTACTCACGATGGGACTTTAAACATCAGAATCATCTCACAAGTTAGAGGCCTCAGAAGTCAGTGCACTAACATCTATTTCAGTAAGTAAAACAGACTTGTTGAATCTGATTTCTCAATATGTCTGAGTCGAATCAGCTTTTACATAATAAACTTTGTTCCAAGAAAATTGTTTAGGACTTTTTGTCCTATAATGCAGTGCTTCCTAGCTGGAGAAAACGACACTGAAGACCAAAAAGACTCGGACTCTCTAACACCCAGGACCTGGTTTTACCCACATTATTTATTTATTTATTTATCTCACACATGACAAACACCACTGACCTTTTTTTTCCTATCTTCTAAGCTTAAAGCCAGTTACTAAAACACTCAAGGGGATTTCAATGGCTTATAAGAGACTAATAATTAAAAACTGTTTTCTCATACATTATGTTCTGCAGTATAGATTCTCAGTAGAGGCAATGATCTCTGAATTGTGCCAAATTCTTAGGAATAAACACACATGCACACACAAACACACTCTTCTCTCAGTTACACACGTAAGACTAAGCGGTTACTTGCACAAGACTGTGGAACCAGGGAGGCGTGGGCACCAAGTGCGTCCAGGCCCAGCGGCACAGAGTGCTGAAGGCCTGGCTGGTCTGCAGAGGCGGCTCAAGGCATTGGCCAGCACTTATCTGCGGAGTGAGGTGAGAACTCGGCCACACTTCATCATGAAACTCCTGAACAGATTCTTTTCCTGTGCCATCGCTCATGCAAATGATAAACACTTCACGGCTAGGGAACCCAAACGCTGAGCTGAAGCACCCTTTCAGAACAAAAGACCCAGTCTAGCGGTGTGTGCCACCTCGGTAACCCTTCCACGACCCTCCGGGAGGGAGGAGAGGTTTGTGGCCCCTTCCTGGCGCTCTATCATATTGTATATCCTACTTTACAGCCCAGATTATTTCACAGGTTATCCCATCTGTGTTTGTTTTGTGCCTACAATAAAGCTGTTACAGCAACCCGGATTGCCCAAGCAGGTGAGCCAAGGGTCGTATCAACCATAGCCCTTAAAGGCCGCTTTCATGAACACACACAGAATGTCAAGTATCTGTCCTGTCCTGTGAGGTGTCTGCAAACGGGAACGTGTGGGTGTCACATGGCTTCATTTTCCTTCCGCGATGGTACCGGTTAGTAGAGGCGAGGCAGCCTCTCCGTCTCAGCAGCTTCCTTCCTGCTCAGTAACTGAGATCACCCCTGCTCTGTGAAGAGAGGGTGGGTGTGCACTTTCAGTTCTCATGAACCCACGAGAGGCAAAGCAGGAGACTCAACAAATTCTGCAGCCGGATTGGCTTTTCATAGGACCTTGTTCTGACGTTTACTGTCGAGGATTGATAGGTGAGCGGATTTCATGTCACAAACTAGGAAAACACCTGCGATTAAGCATCAATTTGAAAAACAGAAATTTGCCAGCTGAGTGCGCAGACTCCCTGCCATGCTGTTGGTGGGCCAGCTGTTTCACTGGTGGGATACGCTGGCCAGACAGTCCATCAATTCCTGACTTCAGTACTCTTGTAGGAAAATATTTCTCCTTTACTTTTTTTTAAAGACGACAAAATATTTTAATTGTTAGTGGTCATAGGAATTCTTCTGGTTTTTCTCTCATGATTATTTTTAATTTACACAGCAGTGGCTTCTGTTAACTCAGTGGCGATACCACGGTCACTTCAAATGAAATCACCCTGTAGCTCCACGGGGTGCCTGCAGGCTGCAGATGCACGGGAGGCTGAGGACAATGGTGGAGACTGAGTCACTGGACCCACAAGTACTCAGAGGCGACAACTGACATCCAGCCCGAGAGCTGCGGTGCACTGTGGATTCCCGCCAGCCACCCTACAAACTGCAACGGAGTAGACAAGGCTACTGTTGCCCACAAGCCTAGATGCGTCCTGTCCAGGACAGCCATGGTGGGTGCTATTGGATGTTGCAGGCAGAACAGCAGGGGTCGTCTTTGTCAGGCTGAGCTGCATAGTTCATCTGCCTCACGATCTCGGCAAAGAGTTCGTCCACCATCGTTTTACTCTTAGCAGACGTCTCCATGAAGGGGCAGCCCCACTCTTCGGCCAAGGCGCGGCCTTCATTGGAGGACACCTCCCGCTCACTCTCCAGGTCCACTTTGTTTCCAACCAGGATGACTGGCACCTTCTCATACCTGGAAGAACACACACGTATGTAGCGGTTAGCAGGCAGGGCAAACACATCTCTCTTCTATAGGGCAGTATAAATGGTCTCTTTAGCCACATGAAACATGACCTGCACAGCTGGCTCAGCCTCACCGAGAGCATTCTGAAACCACTCCCAGAGGGGATCGTAAATGGGCTTTTCAAATGATGTTTTCAATTAATCAATTATGTATCCTTTAAAGTCAATTATGTATCCTTTCCAGATATACTTGGGGAATTATTCTCAGAATCCTGGACTGACTCCTCTTAATTTAAATGCTATCAGTTCCACGAGACGCTCGCTCAGAACGTCAGCCAGTCATGCAATCATGAGCTTTACTGTGAACATAATTGTATTTTACTGTATTCTATAAGAACACAAACAAATCATTTCTAAATAGCTCCTGGACAAAAAAATGAAAGCAAAGAGTGTAATAGAATTCATCAAGAAGGAAAGCTTTAGAGGCACACCCTGTCTCATACGGCATCAGCCAGCAGAAAAAGTCCATTTTTTTTTTTTACTGTTTAAGGATTAAAAATTTTAGTTATTAGCTTCATGAGATGTTGCCTCTCTTTTTCTTCTGACCTTGAACTCTGAGACCAAAAATGATAAGAAAAGAGTAGAGAACCAGAGGTCCCAAGCCACCGGCACAGCAGGTGCTCCACACGGAACAGGACGTGACACCTGTCGGGATAAGAACACCCAGTGCTGCTCACAGCTTATGTCCCAGGTTTCACCCTGTGGTTTGAGAAAGGGCCTCACCATGTAGCTGGCCTGGACTCTATGCAGAGCACGCTGGCTGGGAACTCATAAGCGATCTGCCTGCCACGGCCTCCCAAGTGCTGAGAGTAGAGGCGTGTGACACCACTCCCAGCCCTTCGCTTTAAAAGCTATTTCAAAGCATTTGTTGTTTCTGTGATTTTAGTGTAAATTGGTGTGTGTGTATGTTTGGCAAGACTGTATGTAGGTCTTAGCCGATCTGACTAAAGACGGCTAACACAAGACCCCCACTGAAGCACAACTCACACAGCACATTTAGGAAACCGAGTTACAGGAAGTTTCCCATCCCCATGATTTCTGTACAGTTTCACTGTTGTCAAAATGCTTCTCCCTACTTCCCTCAGAGCCAAGTATATCTCCAACGGACACACCTGTTTTCCTTCGGCAAGAGAGCAAACCAATGGCCTAAGTGAGGGTCCACACGCGCGCGCACACACACACACACATTATTCTGAGTACCCTGGCTCTAGGAGCACAGGTGACAATGATAATGTAGCTGTAGCACAGACCCACTTACCAGTTACACGCGCACATACACACACGTATTTTAAACAGTGAGAAACTTATAATGTAAAGTAAACATGATGATATGAAGAAGATATTCAAAGTCGTCAGGGACTCCGTGCCGTCTAAGGAAAAATCAACTTTGTTCACAGAAATTACAAGGGTTTACGTGGCACCTTACAGGTTCGTTCGGATGGCCCCAGCGAGATGGGAGGTAACTCACAGGCATCGTAAATGCATTCAGCAACCACATCAGGCTATGCACAAGGCCAGGGCAACAACACGATTCAGCGAGCAAATGTCAACTGCTTTCCCAGCTCAAAGAGCCAGGAAGGCGGCTTAAGGGGTAGAAGCTCTCAGCTCTTCCCTCTCCCTTCGTCTCACTATGCTTGGAAGATGAACTCGTGAGAACTCTGTGGAGGGCAAACACGGCACCTGTGAGAGAAACACCCTACTTCTGGCTGGGGGCGCGGGCTCCGTGGTGTGCAGGGTGTGGTAGGAATCTCTGTTACCCCGGATAAGTGAACATGAGCCCAAAGAAGATGATGGAGGACAGGACCACAGGCTGAGAGCAGGCAAAGAGAAAGCAGGGGGCTCAGCATATGTAAGGCGCTGCTGTGCCGCAGGCTGTACTGTGGGCTTCCTTCAGCGTGTGCATCTAGCCATGTGTCTGAAGGTACCTGTGCTCCAATGCATGAAGGGGATACCTCAATAAAAATAATACCTAAACAAAATCCTCACTTAAGCAGGATAGCAGAATAACCTTCAAGACATATTGAGGGGATATGCACGTGGTGCTTCAATAATATAAAACGCAGTTAGGTTGATTAATTAATTCCTTTGCTGACTCCTGCCAATCATAAATTCACCTTCTGCGCTGCTGACTTTGTGTCCTACTGCGTACACCGACGCCACAGAACGTGTGCCGCTGGGCGTACAAAGGAGCGCAGCTCTGAAGGCTTTCTTCACCATCAGGCCCATTAACTGCACCCTCAGATCTTCTCAGGAGCGCCAGGAGTTCAAAACCACCCACACTAAAATGGGAGGAGAAGTGGGAGGGGAAACTGCAGCTGGGATGTAAAATAAATGAATAAATTTAATTCTGTAAGAAAGGGAAATGAAACTATGCTTATGTTCAATCTGGCCCTTTGTCATTGGAAATGGAGATTACTCATGCCAGAAACGTTTATCTGTGAGGAGATGTTTGCAAGTGCAGGCCTGAGGCCTCGTCATTTAGAAACTGGGTGGGAAAACGGAGCAAAGGGTTGATTCTGCTACAAGCGCCACAGCTGTGATCACAAGGAGAGAGAAGGGACAGCTGTTGGCGGACTCATTCCTGTAGGTGCCTTTAGGCTCCAAATTAAACCCAACAATTGAAAAATCAGTCAAAAGGCGGGCAGACTTCTGAACACAGAGCTTTATCAGAAGGGGGAAGGTCATTCAAACACTAAAGCACCTCACCTCCAGCTGAACGCTGAACCTGGAATCTGGTTAAAACAGGCTGACACCGGATGTGACAAGGCCAAGCCGGCGGCTAGAATGGGAGCTGCCTCTACTGCACGGGAGAGAGCTGAGGCTTTAGGAACTGAGAACAAGGAATGTCTAACTGGGAGACCACGTAGTATCGTAAAAAGTCTTACACATAGCTCTCTCCTTCCTGCAAGCCACAGAACAGAAGAGCCCCCACCACACCCCAAGAAAGACCTAAAGCCAAGAACCAGGAGATTGCGGCCACTGGAGAGACTGAGGTGGGAGACTCCGCGAGTTCAAGGTCAGCTTGGGCTACAGGGAGTTCTTGCCTCACAACAAAGCAAACAAAAACCCCACAAAAACCAAAGCAAAAGATGCTAAATTTCAACCATTTGCATTTCTAGAAAGCAAAGGTTATGACAACAATGGAGTCAGCATTTATTCTCCCCAGTAAGGAATTCCTCAGGAAGGAAACCCCTTCCTTTAGGAGGGGAAGAGGGCGTCAGGCACGGGCACCACCCTTGGTCCGCGGTCACGAGGCTGACTGGTTAGGTCTGTGAGGACAGACGTGAAGCAAGGGATGCGGCAGGTGGCCAGTGGGAGAAGAACGGATGAAGTGAAGGAGATGGAGCCGATGATTGCGGCAGAGTGAGGCTCCCCACAGCAGCAAACAGAAATGACAAGTGACGGGTGCGTGACGGAGCTGTGAGTCAACACTCACACAAAAACCATACGCAGATGGTTATGAGGAAAACTACTGGGGCGTGGGAGAGCGCGAGGTAGGGTGGGGGTCTCTAATCATCACCAGGTACGGGACAGGAGGGGCTGTAACAACAGGCCTCGCCTTGCGGAGCAGTGATTACGGGGCAGGGCAGGGCGGAGCAGGAGTTACGGGCCGTGAGAAAATCCATCCCATAATTTTCATATGCACAAACCCTTCATTTCTAATATAACTCACACCTGAGCTCCAGTGGGTGACAGCTCTAATCTATTTCTCACCCCTCTACCTTCCCCTCTACACCAGTTCCATGGCAGCTAACTTAAAGCCTTGCTTTTACAGGCCACAACCCATAGCAAGCATCCTATGAAAACGTGTGACGGCCCCACCACAGCTGGAGAAAGGCTCAGTCCCAGGCTAATAGTCAAGGCTGGTCATTTGGTCATTGGCTGGAACAAACACAGAGGGCACAGAACACAGAAAGGAACTAGAAGGATGTTGGTTTACCTAGATAAGCTGTCTGCCTTTCCCCAGCCCTGGCTCTTTGCTCGTGAGATAGAAATAGTAACTCACAATGTTAACGACAATGATACTGACGGCATCACTAACAGCCAGCACCTACAGACTCTGCACTCGGCATTCCCAGCAGTTATTCACTAAGGTAATGTGGCTAGTGCAAACTACTAGAGGGCCGCTAGCTAGTCATCTAGGGTCCGCAGGCTGTGTTAGCACGCCACTGCGAAGACCCCAAGTGCTGTGATGCAGCTATAGAGAGATGCGCCACACCTGCGCCGAGTGAGCATCGTTCCCTCTTGTTCCCGGCTTACATTCTCTGGTCCAAGTGTCCAAATCTAACTACTAAGACTAAAAGTCAGTGATTTCCATGGAAAAGAGAAAAATAAGAGACATTATTTCCCCGATATATGCAAGCTGACAATCCAGCCTCTTCCACAAACAAGTAGTTTCCCTTATTCTAAGATCTTTCTTCTCACCGCATACTGCTGTCACCAGACAGGAGCCATGGCTGTGATGTAGACAATGTGGGACACACAAGAGAAGCAACACCCCAGCTCTGCCGTGTTAAAGTATTAATACCTACGAACCAGCGGTGCTGCGTCTGCTTCATAGCTGTGTGCTCACAAAGCCACAGCCAGCAGCAACGTATGGCCCGCAGCCGTGTCCCACGGCTGGGGCTGCTGCTTGATGCTCACAGGTACTCGTGCAGGACAATAAAGGGATGGATTTCAAATGAGGAGTTTCCTCATGACCTTCAGGCTGCTTCAAGTGGCAGACATGTCACTGAGACCACGCTATGGCCTTTCTGAGATTGCTTAGACAGATTTATTAAGGGTCCCTGAAGACACAGGGAAAGGGGAATGGTCAAAACACGCATGCAATGACCCAAAGGGACCTTGTTCATAAATTCAACTAACATTTGCTGAGGTTTTTTTCTATATTCCAAGGTGCTGGATGTCAAAGCTGGTGCAGAAAAACACCATTACACGGAAGAAGCTTTT